GGCCTGTAGGGTTTAGGGTTCAGGGCCTGTTGTTAGTAGGGCTCGGGCTCCAAGATGTGTCGCAATGAAAATCTTAGGGCCCTGGTTTGTGGCCAAGTGTCAAAATACCGCCATCAAGATATTGCATCATTCAGGGAGGCTTTAGGTTATGTGATGCAAACCCTCAGGCTTATGTGTAGGTGTACAGGTGGATGGTAAGACTAGTTCTTAAGACTCTTTCTAACTCGGTTTTTCCGTGCCCTGCTGGCAGCTGAGTTGCCGAGTTGTGTGGATTTGAGAGCTGGGGTTCAGGGTTTTGTGGAGTTTTGTCAAAATTATGGTCCCTTTTGGGGTACCCTAAATAATAGGTGCCGTATTATAATAAGGACCCAACAAGGGACCCTAATTTTGACAACCACCCATAGGAGTCTAGGGGTTTAGAAGTGGAGGGCCGGGTGAGACTTTGTTGTCTTAGGGGTAGGGTTGTGGAGTCTAGGGGTCGGGTGAGGATGAGGTTGGTTGTGGACCTTGCAATTTCTACACCCTAGACTCCTAGACCCTATAAACCCTAACAGCTGTAGGCTAGGTAGTATTATTAGGGGTAGGGTCCCCTTCTGAACCTTACTTTTGGCTCTCTTAAAAGGGACCTTATTGAGAGGGTCTATGTTACCAAGGGTCCCCTTAATCCTAACTCCCATAGGCCCATAGGCTCTGCATAAAACTTTCAGACTTTCAGCCCAGCTCGTCGCCATAGGTCCGCCATGGCGGCCCTCCCTGCGAACTTGCGCCTGACCAGGACTCAGAGTTACCCGCAGTCTCCATTGTAGTTGCTTGTTTCGGCTACCTTCAGGATCCTAACTAAAACATTTGTCAAAAAGGAACTACAAGGGAGATTTTGGGTATAGCGTTAAGTTTGGTTGGTCCTTAGAGAGTTCATTCAGAACACCATGCTCCCATGAAGCAGGCTGCCCGTGCTCACCTCTCGAGTCGTACTCCTTTGTCGTGTGGGGGTTCCCGAAAATAGGGGACCCTAATGTAGTACCTAAAAAGTAGGATCCTAATTATAAGGACCCCAAAATAAGGTACCCCCTAATTTTCGGAAACTCCCATGTTGCTCATTATGTCTTCAACCTTTCCGCTTTGAGTTCTCGGCCTTGACCGCCTTAGGGTCAAGGGTTGTTATGGGTTCAGGAGTTAGGGTTTAGGGGTTTATAGGGGTTTAGGGTTTATAGGGTTTAGGCTCCAACCTGCTCTGACGCCCAAGAGCCTTCGAGCACTAGAGACCCCGATTTTTTTCATCCCTCAGTCTACCTGTCTTAAGCTTCGTCAGCCTGGTCCTGAGAAGGAGGCCGAACCTTGCGGGGTTCGGTTTTAGGGTTTATAGGGGCATCTTGGAGTCCGTGAGAGAGAGAGAGAGGGAGAGAGAGAGAGAGAAAGAGAGAGAGGGGCATCTTGGAGTCGCTACAAAGGCCCACATGGCTGAAAATCGCGATGCCAACTGCTTGAACTGCGCATCCGATGCTTTCCAAGTATCACAATACACCGGCAACATGTGTGGTCGTACCAATCCGAGGAAGCAAGTGCGCCAGGCTCAACAGACCGTTTCTAGCACTGCAGGAGGCAGGCTTCTGTTCGACCATGGTTTCGAGTAGAGGAGAAAGTACACTAGAACCACCGGGTGTTGTCATTAAGGCCCCAGTTATCAAACCTATGGACCCTAAGCCCTAAACGCTGAACCCTAAGCCCTAAACCCTAAACCCTAAACCCTATAACGACTAACGATTGCTCCCAGGCCCTTTGGCGAGGGAGCATCCTCGCGGGAAGACATCATCGCCAAGGCCCAGGGTCGGAGAATCAACCCCCAAAGCTCCATGTGCCCGCCCCTTAACTTAGGAGCCCAATAGGCAAACTTTAAACTTTTTTGGTATATTAAACCCGTACTAAAAGAAAAGTTTAAACATTTTTGGGCCAGGGTATTGGGCTTAAAGGTTAAAGGGACCCATAAGGGCTTCCATAGGGGTTCATTATGGTTACTCTTAAAAGTTACCTTTTGCTTTTAGGCTCCTGTCATAAGGGTGCCGTACTATGTTGGGACCTACAACAAGAACTTAGTTGAGAGAGCTACCCATGTAGTATGTACTTATAGGCCGTTTAAGGTACCCATATAAGAACCCCTTGAAGGCAGAAGTATACATTATACGGGCACATGGAACCTTAGGGCAAGTACGGGGATGCTGAATTTGAGTCTGGGTTCAAAAAGGGCAAGGATAGGGTTGGGCCGTGTACCGCGAGGGTCCATGCTATTTTGCTTGCTACTACTATGGAAGGAGGCCCCAAAAGCCCTGATAAGGATGGCCTTCTGGCACTTAGTTCCATAATGGCAGTATATATGAACCCTCTAGGCTTCCTAAACCCTTAGTTACGGAATAGACCTTAAATCATTGTGGGGGTCCTATTATGGCTGAAAGTATATACCTCTGTTTATGGACCCTCTGGGCGTAGAGCTGCGGAACTTCGCTCCTATGCTACGCCGACCCCTCGCTCTCGCAATCCGGGAGGGAGAAGCAGAAGCACAGCCGTAACCCTTCCCGCGAACAATTATAGGGTTCAGGGTTCAGGGTTTCAAGGTTTTATCTTATTTTCATGGTGAGGGGAGCTACTATTCTGCAAGGTTTTCGGGCTACCGGTAAAGCAGCAGGTTGTGAGCAAGGACCGCGAGCGGGCCCTTAAAACCTAAACCCTGAGCCCTAAACCCTAAACACGAAACCCGAAACTTTAGACCCGAGAGGCTAAGGCTTAAAACTTAAAGTTTGAACCCTAGACAAATGGCATCAACAGGCACCCCTCATGGTCGAGTCAGACCTTGAAACGGCACGGGTCCCAGTTGTGCCCCTGATAGGATGTGGGTTTTAGGGTTTATAAGCTTTAAGCTGAGGGTTTAGGGTTTTAGGTCTGCATCGGCCTCAGTACGGGTTTGAAAAAGGACTTTCTGGGATCCTAAATACAGAAACCGGGTTATCAAAAAGGAGTTGCATTGCACCGAAGGTTCACGTTTAGGATGTCGCCGTGCCTGCGGATAGAGGGCGTAGCTTTTAAAATTTTAGGGCTTGCATGCACCCAATGCCTGCGCTGAAAAAGGGCTGATGGGTTTCTGTGATCACCTTCACCTTCCTTTGGTTCACCTCCTTACTAAGGGCCCGGCCGGGCCGTCTTACAGCCCAAGACCAGCCCATTTCAGGGTAGGATTGGAGCATATCGGAGCCTGAAATTTGCCTTAAGAATTGAACTCGTATATTGTCGGGACTGTAAAGGGGTAGTATTACTACTTTGTAAGAGCTGTTTAGTAGGACTTCTGCGGGCTGATAGCGGAGTGGCTGCCCAGGGTTTAGGTTTTTCCAGCAAGGGCAAAGAGCAATTGATCACCGGAAGAGTTTGATAGCCACGAGCAAAAATAATATCGGCTGAATCGTCTGCAAAATGCGGCATAATACTTGCGAAACGGAATTGGGCTCTTTCTGGCCTTGTGAGGCTGCGGATGGTTCCGACGAAAACGACCACGAGCCTGTAGGCTCCAGTGAGTATCGAGCCACGCGTTTGAGATTCGGACTTGACTGAAAACCCCAATCCCTTTTGGAGGGCTGAGGATTCACATTCATCACATTCAGGTCGCCCAAATCTTCATACGATAGATAGGGTGGAGAATGGTCCCACCCTTCAAGGGACCTCCAGGACAACCCTCATATGCC